ACGGCTTATATGAGCCGACCCCCCTGAAACCCCCGATACGTCTTACTATCGGGGAAACACGGTATTATAACCTGATTATTGAGTCAATCTGAGTTAACAGGCTCAGCTGCTGTTTGCTCTGTCGCCACTAGAGGGCACTGTTGTGCATTATAACGTTCAGTGGATGTGACATTAATGTCTGCATTGTTTAGCTAACCGACTGTGTTGCTAACGGCAACGCCAGCCTAGGTTTCAGGGTTCAACTCCTGAATCAAAACTCCTAAAACACCATCAACCCTCCACCATGTCACATCGGGTCGGCTGGTCTCAGCCCCATTAGAACCAGTGACAGCAGCCGGCCGAACCGGACCAGACCGGGTCGGCAGAACCTCCAGATAAACGGAGGACAGACTCACAGCGGCCACCGTCAGCATGTCGAACACCTTGGTGCAGTACCGCCAGGCGTTGGCGTTCCCATACTTGGTCTGACATTCATCTGAAACAGACGAGAACCGGATCAGAACCAGAACACAGATGGACTCTGGAGAAGTCCAGGGTGGCAGGTCGGTACCGTAGAACCCGTAGACCTGTGTGATCTGTCTGCTCTCATGGTTTCCTCTCAGCAGCGTGATGCGATCGGGCCACTTGGCCTTCAGAGCCAACAGGTAGGTGAACGTCTCCAGACTGTAATACCCCCGGTCCACAAAGTCCCCCTGCAGAGAGATGGGAGGAGAACCGGATCAGAACCGGATCAGAACCAGGAAACATGCAGCGTTAGCGTCACGTCTACCAGCAGGTCTCACCATGAAGACATAGTTTGTGTCTGGAACCTGACCTCCGGTCCTGAACAGCTCACACAGGTCATAAAACTGGAACAGAAACAAGAAACACATGAGAGGCCGATGGAGGCCGATGGAGGCCGATGGCCCGATGGAGGCCGATGGAGGCCGATGGCGGCCGATGGAGGCCGATGGCGGCCGATGGAGGCCGATGGCGGCCGATGGAGGCCGATGGAGGCCGATGGAGGCCGATGGCCCGATGGAGGCCGATGGAGGCCGATGGAGGCCGATGGCGGCCGATGGAGGCCGATGGCGGCCGATGGCGGCCGATGGAGGCCGATGGAGGCCGATGGAGGCCGATGGCAGTCCCACTCACCTGACCGTGAATATCTCCACAGACGGTGACCGGAGTGGCTACAGGCTGAACGTTGGACTCCTCCAGCAGCAGATCACAAACATAGTCACATAATCTCTGCAACAAAAACAGGAAAAAATGATGGATTAGTGTTAGGAACATAGATCTAAAGATCTAGAACAGTCCATCCAGTTTCAGCTCCGACTGATCTGAACTGCGACCCAAACATCAAGAGTTCGGTCAGCGGATTGTCTCTGATCACTTCCTGTCAGACCCCAGATTATTCTGGATTATCAGCCCAGAGCTTCAGCCTGACATCAACTCAGATTAGAAACAGAAAAACTTATCCTGCTTCAAGATGGCTCAGATTTTTTCTTCTAGAAACAAAATGATGTCTGGAAACACAAACAAACATGACAAACTATCGGTCCGGACCGGAGAACAGAACCGGACCGTTTCAGAACCTGAGTGATGGTGGTTTTGTAAACTTCAGGTGAAAGCAGCTGATTCTATTATTGTTTTGTCTGTCAGTTCGTGTATTTTTGATTCCGTGTTGAACTGAACCAGAACCAGCTCAGTTTAACTCGCTGCAGGAGAGCCTGTGAGCGGCTTCCTCTCTCAGCTGTCCCCCCTCTGGTTCTTTTTATTTCCAGCTGACAAGTTGCTATCAGAATGAAGCAGATGGTTGATCGGTTCTGACCCAGATCATCAGAACATTCCGTCCCTCTGACCCAGATCACCAGAACAAACAAACTCTTCCTTCCTAAACGTAGCCGCTAGCTCCACTAGCTTCCAGCGCTCCAGAAACTCGACATAAACTCAAAACTCACCTTTAAGTCGTTCTCTGGTAAATATTTGCAGTGTTTTGCTATTTCTACGTATCTGTCGAGGTCTAAAGGTGCCATAATTAAAATTAAGTTTCAAAATGTGAAAACAAAAACGGCTAAAGGCGATTAGCCTTCCTGCTAACTAGTTCCACTTCTCCTTCCGCCTCGGATTCTTCTTCTACTGTGGCGGAGCGCAGCTGGTAGGACCACAGCACGACCGCCACCTAGTGGTTCAGAGAAGATAATACCTGCACATTAGGTGTTCATAAGTTTCAGGAGCTGCGGCAGACTGGCGACCCGCCTCTCGCCCGAAATGTCTCGCTGGAGAGGCACCAGCAGCCCTCCTGACCCACTGGGGCAATGTGTACAGAAAATGGATGGATAGTTCTGTTGGTCAGCTGCTAGCATTAGCAGGAGAAGGAGGACTGCTAAACTGCTAAAGCGACCTTATAATCATTTTGTGAAAACACGATAATCGAGTTTATAAAATCAGAATTGAAAAGAAAAAAACTCATAATTATGAAAAATGGAAGTAGAATAAAATCAGGATAAAAATGATGGAAAAATTGGGATTTAAATAATAACGTTATTCCAGATAATTTATTTGTAATCAGAAAAAAGAGATTATAATACCAGAGTGTTTTAGCTACAGCGGTTTCACCATCTCTTCCAGTCAGTGCTGCCCCCTGGTGGCCGCTCCAGATGTTTCAGCTCCTGAATCTCTTGTCTGAGATGGTCTGGTCTGGATGAGAACTAAATCAGAACATTCCTTCCTCCTGTTGGATTGTTGTTCAGGAATAAAATCCCTTCCAGTTCCAGATCCGTGATTCTGCGGAGCGGGTGGTTCAGTTTTCCTGTTGGTGTTGGATAAATCCTGACTTTCCGCTCTGAGCTGCAGATCTGGGATGTTTCTGTCCCAGTCAGGGTTTACTGGGAGCTCTGGTTCCATCAGAGAGCTGCAGCAGTTGCTAACGTCTGATTGGATCTGGATTCATGCTGGAAAACAACTGGAGTCAGGCGGCAGGACGGTTCGGCTTGGTCTAATTTCTGGGTGGCTCTGCAGCCAGGCTCAGTCTGAGTCAGCGACCTTTGACCTGCGGATTGGAGACTCAGTTAGGATCTGCTGCCTTACACTACCCCTGCTCTCTGACAGCACAGCAGTCAGGCCCAGACTTTGACTAGGCCGTCTTCCTTCTCTCCTGCTCTCTTCTCCAGCTGCATCCACTCACCTGTAATTAGTTCTTCTGCTCCCGCCGCCATCTTGTTTCTAGAGAGGAGAAGCTTTCTCCTGGTTCAGAGTCGTGATGGAAACCAGGTTTAAATCAGAACAAAATGCAGATTAAACCTGAATCAACAGCAGAATAAGTTCATGAATGAATTGAGTTTAATGGGAGCTGATCGGTTGCTCTGAGCTCTGTTGGTGCTTCCTGGCATCGGGGCTGCGGTGGGCACTGAAGGGTTAACGGTGTGTGAGGAGGAGGAGCTGCTGCTGGAGCGTTACCTGCCTCTCCGTTGCTCCTGCGGCTCCAGACTCGGCTCCGGCTCCAGAGGGACGGCGTGATGCGGGTCGTCCTGTTCTGCTGCTGCCTTTCCTCTCTGCACCTCCTGCTGTGCGCCGCGCCGCTGACTGAGGGCGGCACCGCCATCAGCCTGCAGGTGAGTCCACACAGCGCCGAGCAGAACCGCAACCTGAGCAACATTCCTCCAGAACCAGCAGGCGATAAATCAGAGCAGAACAAAGATCCAGGGACAGAATCAGAAACGAACAACAGGTGTGTAACTTCAGCCTGGAAGTCAGGCTGAATGAGACGGGAGATGGAAAAGGTCAGAGTTACCTCAGAGTCTGGAAACAGAAATCAGCAACAGGTTGCTCTGAAAGAGACGGAAAAGTTTAAAATGATCTTAGAATCTCAGAGAACCTGAAGAAATAAAAACCTGCAGATTCACTGAATACATCCAGAACCTGCATCACGGGGCAACTACTGGGTAAGCCCTACAGGTACCCTTCTACTTATAGGGCAAGTACTGGGGTACTGATAGGGTACCCTATGGGATGTGTACATGGTCCAGGTACTTGTAGGGTATCTGTGGCTTTTACAAGGAATCTAAGGGGCATTTAACCCCCCATCCCTGGAGACCCCATATTTGGGGGTAATATCATTCCAAGAGACTCCAGGGGCCTTACAAGGTCTTACCTAGACGGAACCAGTGGGGTATTTACAGGGTACTCTGGGGTTAGCATGCAGCTGGTGCCTTCAGGGTAACTATGGAGTATTTATGACCTCATCCAGTTTATAACAGAGTTTTCTCTGTATTAAATCTGTGGTTACAGTTTTACAGGGTGGATAATGAACAGACAGGGAGACGACATCATGAATCATGTTGGAAAGCATCACCTGTGGGACGATTAAGAAACAAATAGCAGATCATAACCGTCACTCCCTCAGAGCTGAAGAATGTTAATTCTCCCTGAATGAGTGAAACTGCAGCCGTCAGCTGATCTAATCTGTCTTCATCTCAGGCTAATGGCTGCAGCGTGTTAGCCTGCTAGCTGGTTCTGGATCAGTCCGCAACATTTCAAATACGCTCAGTGATTTTAAATTGTTCAGAAGAAACAATTTGACTTGGTTCCCATGTAGCCCAGAGACCAGGATGGAAATGTTCACAGCTTCTCATGGAGGCGACCCGGCTCTGAAGAGGCAAAGAAACTCCTTCGTTTTACATTTGAGAAACTAAGAATGTAAGCAGGAAGTCACAGGCTGAGAGCTTCCTGAGTTTTTCACATGTAACCTTTAATCAGCTTAAAGATTCTGGAAAGTAGAAGATCATCAGAAAGGCGAGTTGATGAAGACGCCAACAGAAACTCTGAACAGGAAGGAAGATGGTTGAGTTTGTTTTGGGGTAACTTCCTGGTGACCCCGCGGCTCCTGGGGGTTCAGACATGGCCGTAAATCCCAGGGGGTTCGGGGGGTCCGGAGCCCCGATCTGGGAAAAGTCTAGAATCGTCCTACCAGAGAAGTCATGAAGGAAACCCTTGAATTTAAACAATATCAATATAAAAAGGCAAAAGAAACAAAGAATGAAATAAATCCACCTTTCATCTAAAAAAATAATAAGGATGAATTTTTAGGTTATATTTAGCCCTTTAACACGAATAAGAAGAGATTGAAACTGGAGCGGCTGAGCGTTAGCATTAGCCCACAGCAGAGGGGCCACTGCAGAGCAGCTGGCAGTAAAAAATAAACTATGCCTTTATTTCTTACTGTCTTCAACGTCAAGCCTTTAAAACCACACAATAAAATCAGAATAAAATAAAATCGTTAAGTTGAAGTTCTGATTCTCCCAGATATTCACCGACCAGGATGGGAAACCAGAACAGGTTTTAAAATAAAGCAACTTAACAAGTTATCATTTAAATAACACATAACTTGTATTGAGAGCCACTGCAGTAAATCAGTGTTTATGAGGAGTTTTATGAAGTCACTCATTAAAAATCAGTGAGTCTGAACCAAGTCAGATCTAAACATTTAAACTTTGGTTTGACTCTCTGGTCTCCAGTTTGTGGTGCTTCTCCTCCCTGGTGGCTTTTGGTCCTGCAGCTTGGACTCATTAAACCTCGTTACATTTCACTGAAACGTCCCTGAGGTGGGATTTCCTCCGATGGGTTCGGGATGTTTGATGGATGCCAGAGCTCGCCTGGAGGGTCGCTGGCGTCAGGCTGGGAGGCGGCGGCTCGTCCTGGGGCAGCTGGTGGGGTAAACTCTGCTGGGGAGCTGAGTCAGCAAACCAGAGGATAACAGACACTTACTCAGAGACAAACATGCAGCCGGGATCTGCAGCGTGTCTTCATTCCTGACCTGATCCCTGGATCCTGGTCCGGTGCTGACGGGTCAAACCTCAAGTCCAGTTTGGATGTTTCTGACTCACTGCAGGAACGTTTGGAGGTCATTTCAGCTTCACAGACATTTGGCAGCCAGACGTTGGAAATATTTACTGAATTACTGCCAAGAATTTAATCTCTATTTTCAGCTTCTAATTTTTCTGTTTCATCCAGAAATTAAGGCGTTGCATCAGATTAGGAAAAACTTCCCTGCTGAGAGTTGATCTGCGTCTCAATAAAACATCGTTTGGACCCTGGTGATTCTCTGCATCATCAGCAAAACAAATTCTTACTGACAAAATGACAAAACATCCATCCAGATGGCAGCGCAGGACGACAGGATGAGGAAGCAGAAACAGATGCTGGTCAGAGGAAAACATGACAAATGAGATCATTTTCCTCGTTTAGCTGAAGGAGATGAAGATGAACTCTGGGATAAACAGGAAGAGGAGGATGAGTGGGATGGAGAGGAAGAGAGGAAGGACGGAGGTCAAAGAGGTCAGCTGGTACGCCAACACTTAGCAGCTGGTACGCTAGTACTTAGCAGCTGGTACGCTAGTACTTAGCAGCTGGTACGCTAGTACTTAGCAGCTGGTACGCTAGTACTTAGCAGCTGGTA